GGCGGGGGGCGGACCCCGGAGGCCTGACCGCCAGCTCCGACCGAGACGTCCCTGATGGAGGTTCCCCATCCGCTCCGTGAGGGAGCAAGAGCCTCCTTACCAAGGTCAGGTGCGGCCGTGAGAGGTGGGACAGGTCGGGAACGGAAGACCCAAGCGGAACATTACAGAACCTTATCACGAGCACCTACTGTGCGCCGGACACCCAGGGAGGGACAGCTTCCCTCTGCGCCCCAGTCAGCCAGAGCCGGCTCTGATGGGGTGGGCGGTGGCCTCCGCAGGCCGGCAGAGGCAGTGCTGGGCCCTCGCAGGCTGGCTGCTCTCCTTACAGTCACTCGCAGGGGAAACCCTTGAAGGACCTAAACGGGCAAAGGCTCCAAAGGCAGGCTGCCCAGGGCACCGGGACGGGGAGGGGGGGGGGGCAGCAGCTGGGCCGGGAAGGAGGGAGCACAGGCGGGGGTCAGGCACCTGGGCGTGGGCGTCCCTTCCGCTGGACCTGCCCTTGGCTGTCACCCTGTCATCATGCTTGTGGTGCGTCCCCTGCCAGGCCAGGCGCCTCTGGGGAGGAGGACTGTGCCTGCCTCTCTGGGCCCTCACGGTGGGTGCTCAGTGAGCAGGGATTGAAGGGGTGACCCTAGTCCTTGGACACGTTGCTTTCCTTCTGGATCTCCAGTTCCTCTTTTTTTTTTTTTAATATATTTTATTGATTTTTTACAGAGAGGAAGGGAGAGGGATAGAGAGTTAGAAACATCGATGAGAGAGAAACATCGATCAGCCGCCTCCTGCACATCTCCTATTGGGGATGTGCCCGCAACCCAGGTACATGCCCTCGACCGGAATCGAACCTGGGACCTTTCAGTCCGCAGGCCGACGCTCTATCCACTGATTAAAACCAAGGACGGCCCCAGCTCCTCCTCTTAAGGAGCCCGAGCCTGGGGGACACGAGGCTGGGCTGGTGGCCTTGAATGCCAAGAAAGACCTCCTTCAAGGGATGAAATGTGCTGCCCTCGGCAAAGCCCTGGAGCAAGCCGCACCCGCAGGGCCCGGGGCTCATGTGCTCCCCTGGGAAGGTGGTTGGATCACGTTGTTGGGCCTTTGCTTAGGGGACCCTCTGCTTCCCCAGCAGGAGCGGCTGGTTCCCCGAGGCCTATGTGAAGCCACTGGAGGAGGTGCCCGTGAACCCCATGAATGCCTTGAACCCCGTGACCTCCATGAACCCCATGAACGCCTTGAACCCCATGACCTCCATGAGCCCCATGAACCCCTTGAACCCAGTGACCTCCATGAACCCCATGAGCCCTATGAATGAGCTACCTTCCAGGTACCTGGGTGGTCAGAGTTGGGGCAGGGGTGGGGACTCCAGTGGGGGGTGACCCCACCCATCGGGGGGGTATCTGCGAGTTGCAGTCCTGAGTGGGCCCAGCCCCCTGTAGCCTCTGGAGAAAGGGCCCCCCATCTCTCTAGCTGTGAAGGTCATTGTGTCCATCCCTCTGCCTCCTCTCAGGGCTGCCTGCAAGCCAACAGTCTCCTCTCCCCCCAGGCGCCGGGGAGGAGGCTGTAGGAAGCTCAGGGGCCCAGCAGATGGGGCCTGACCCCTGACTCCCTCTCTTCCCCTCCTTTCCGGGCTCAGGTCCTACCCGCTCCGGGGCAGCCACAGCCTAGACGACCTCCTGGACCGGCCGGGCAACGCCACAGCACCCTCAGAGTACTGGGACGGCCAGCCCCGCTCGCGAACTC